GAACTGGACACAGTACTCCAGCTGCGGCCTGACCAGTGCTGCATAGAGGGGGAGGATCACCTCCGTGGACCTGCTCGAGATGCATCTGTGGATGCATGACAAGGTGCGGTTGGCCTTCCTGACTGCATCCCCACACTGCCGGCCCATGTTCATCTTGGCATCAATGATGACTCCAAGATCCTTTTCCGCCTCCATGCTGACAAGAAGGGAGTTCCCCAGCCTGTAGGTATGGTGCTGGTTCTTCCTCCCCAGGTGCAGCACCTTGCACTTGTCGGTGTTGAATCCCATCCTGTTCTCATCCACCCACCCCTGTAACCTGTCTAGGTCTGATTGCAGCCTATTCCTCTCTTCTAGTGTGCCCACATCCCCCCACATCTTAGTGTCATCAGCAAATTTGAGCAGGTGCTTTTTACCCCCTCGTCCAAGTCACTGATGAAGATGTTGAACAGTGCTGTGCTTCCCCTGGGGTCTACGGGGATCCCGGTGGGGGGTGAAGTCCCAGTCCCTGCTCAAAAAACTGAAAGCAAAGAATTTGTTAAAGAGATTAGCTTTGTCATCTGGTGCTACCACCAGATTACCAAGCGTGTCCTGCAGAGGCCCCACATTACTTGGTACCGTCTTTTTACCCCCTATGTATTTAAAAAAGGATCTGCCATTAACAGAGGCATGTTTGGATTGAATTATCCAAGATTAGATAGTGAAACAATATGGGTCTCATAGCCAGATTTAATGATCCCTCCACATTTATACTGAAAGAGAGAGGAGGAGACAGATCCCAGGCACAGCTCCGAGTCCAAGTAGCAAAATTACAGCTTGGAGACATGCACAGGGATGCCGAGATTCTTTTTCCCACAATGGAGAACAGCAGCTCTTAAGGGATTGCCAAGAATTGGGTAAAATCCGGGTAGACTTGATGACTCAGCTCTTCCAAGAGAGAAGCCCCGAGTTACTTGCATGGTTTCTGCAAAGGATTCCATGGGATTTTCCCTAAACCCAGGGCTTTGATCATGATCTGAACAGCGCTTTGTCGGTAGCTACATATGCCATGCTTACAGGAGGACTGCTAATGCTCTGCTTTCTCTACAGGCACAGATGGTTTTCTGATTAAAAATACTAAAGTCAACCTGTGTCTACAAGCAAGTACAGATAAGAACTTACTGATAGAGGACTGTAATTCTACTTCGAAGTCCCAACACTGGTTTTGGCAAGACAATTCCTTAGTCAATCGTGGCACAAGGAAATGTCTATCTGTGGCTGAGGTCAACAGAGTACAGACAAGTCCCTGTGACAGTACCGCACTTGTAAACTGGGACTGCTTTAATTTCTGGCTTCAGCCTATGGGAATCCAGAAATACCTGGCAGTAAAAAAGAATAGAGCTGTTCTCACTGACACACAAAGCCCAAATTCCCAGTGGCGAAGCAGAGGGGAACAGAGTGTATGTGATGAGAGACCAGGTAAGCATCGGACACCGAAAAAGGTGAGCCACTTATTATGCTTGTGTAACATGAATGCAAATACACCATGACTTTACGTACATCTTTTTGCGTGTGATATGCAGGGTTCAAGTCTTTCACCAGACAATCACAGTATTTCTCTAGCAGGCAGGCAGGTTGGGGACCCTGGATGCCATGGTCCAGAGATGCACTAATCACGCTTCTTGATAGAGGCCAGGAGTGCAATGGGGAGCCCAGAACAAATATTTAACATGGAATTCACTATAGACATGGTAGTGGCTCACTTCAGTTTACCTGGTACTTTTAGGAAAAGGAAGCTCTAAGTATAAAAGAGCTAGACCCCATGCACTGACATCAGGGACAAGAGTGCCAGAGACCTCCATAGGTATAGGATTTGCACTTAAATTAGAGATCCCTTCCAAAAACCAGGAAATGGGAGCCATCACAAACAGTTTTTTGCAGATTCCCATACTCTGGATATCTTGAATCAACTTTTTAGCTTCAGACTCCACATGCTCATCGTCACTCAGGCCCACAGAACACCATTTTGCCTCCCCCCCAAGACCGGCCCTGTGTTAAAGAAATAACCTGGCAACCCTGTGAACCACTAGCAAGGCTCTTCTCTTTGGAGTAGTTGCAACAAAAACAAGAGGCGCAGTATCTCTTCCTATGTTTCTTGGCTTTTTTTCTCCAGCAAAGACAAAAAGAAGCAGATATACCCCTATGGCTCTTGCAAACACAGGCATGCGCAGCAAGATGGAGGGTGACACCACCCCTGCAGCATCTCTGTCTCAAGAACAGCTGAACGATTTGCTGTGGTTTTTCCGGAGAGAAGATTGTAAGTCCCGTTGAGAGACGTGGTATTTGTTGGAGACAAGTGTCTGCTCATACCTTGTTGGCTAGTGGCAGATGTGCAGAGGAGTTACCCCAGTACTCACTGCCTATCTTATGAGCTGTCTGCACTTTCCTGGCCCCTCTACACTTGGAGCCAGTGTGCACCAAGCTGCCCCATTAGGCCTATCTTTGCACAAAATATTTGGCTGGGACAAAGTTGCCAGCATGCCTTTGCAAGGGCCTTCACTTGTCCATGCTTTTCTTCTTGCAGCGTCAACGTGGAATTACTCCATCCTAGCCCTCTCCTTTGTGGTTCTAGTTCTGGGTCTTCTCCTCCTGGGGATGAATGTTACGGCCAATAGGTAAGACACCAAACTTTAAGGACTGGCTATGAAACCCGCAGGTGGGGCAGGTGGAAGAGCCATGCTGCTAAGACAGCAATGGGGCAGTGTGCACAGGAGTTAACCATCAAACCTTCGCACACTTTGCACCATGGGCTCTCAGAAGGGGCAGGACTGCAATTTCCTCAAGGCTTGTGCTTTGTAGAAGTCCACAAAATACTTCAGGCAAAACGCTTTGCAATGCAAAATTCAGATTTTGGACAACCAAGATAATTTGCAAATTTGTTTGCCCTTCAGCAAATTGTTTCAGGGCAAACCAAACCTTTTTAAAATCCCCAAATTATAAAGCATTTCATGGAATTGATATGCTTTGATTTTTCAAATCCAAAGGACATTTTCTTTCAAAATGTATACCGGTTTTCTATAAAAAGCTGTTTTAAAAACACTTTAAAAGCCCTTACAAACAAAACATATTGGCTCATTGCTGTCCAGGCAGGATATTTTGTTCAACTTTTGTCCGATTTTCTCGGACTTCACAATTTTGCAAAAAAATTGAAGCAAAAGAAAAATGATTTGGGATCAGTCTGGAATATTTTATTTGCAATATTTAGTTGAGCAGTGAACTGGAAAACATGAAGGCCACGTGCCCCCAGAGGCTGGTGGGGCACAGCAAGCTCCCGCAGGCAGCCACAGTGCTGTCGGTGGTGGTGGTGGGGTGGCAAGTGCTGACCGGCAGGTGCACATGCACCCCCTATGCATCGCCAATGCTGGAAAATGAGTTATACTTAAAATTAGCGAGGGGGAAGATACTTATGCACTAACACGCTGGACGCTGTCTTCATGCCACTCTTCCCTGACACAGTTACCCAGCCTTTTTAGCCTTGAGTCACCCCCTCCAAACCTTTTGTGAACTGAGCCGTACCCCATGTCCAAAGCTAATGTATTCATTACAGTGCTTCCCTGCTTGAAGAGGGGCCAGGAAGGAGAAGTATCCAGCAGGGAAGAACCAGTGAGCAGAGGAGAGCTGCTGAAAGGGAAAATCCTACCCTTATCTCCTCCGGGGAGTCTGCATCTATCTCACTTACCACCTCCTCCACTTACCTCCTCTCTCCCAGAGGCACCCTTCAAAGGCTGTCCTGGCATCCTGGTTGAAAATCAGCAGCGTAGGGCATAGCTCCTGGATATTTTTGTGAAAAAACTGTATTTTAAAAAACAGCCTTCCTATTATGATTGGCTTTGAGAAGAAGAGAACACAAATGAATGCCAGTGTGCATCTGCACCAAGTCAGAGCCACTCCCAAAGCTACCCTATATTTGTCCTTCACCACCCGGTTTGTAGTTTGAAGCCAGTAGGCACCTGTAATGGCTGAGCATTTTTTTCTGAGGGTCACCGAGTGGTCTGTAGAGCAACAATTGGAGCAGTGGGCCAAAAAAGACATGGCAGTCAAAGAAATCATAGTAAGGCTTAACGCTTTGCATGTCCACCTTCCTTTCTCTGTGTTTCCTAAGTCCTGTTCAAAGGCAAGTGGCTTTGATGATCTCTACAATTCTGCTCCAGCACAGGGCTTCTGCGGACAGACAGTAAAGAAGGCTGGTGAGGTGTCCATGCAGCAATGCCTATCATTATTGAGGCACATTATAGCTGAGGCCTCAGCCACAGCTCAGTACTCTTATTACTCAAGGCAGGACTTGTCCCTCCTAGTCTATGCTCTTCCACACTGACAGCTCCCACTTCCCTCTGCGGTGCTAGAACGTCGGCACCGGATGCGGCCGGCGGGGAAGCAGCCCCAGGCCTTGTGCCACGTCCTGTGTTATCCCTCCTCTTCCTCTGGGAAAAAAAAATGTCATGCTGCAGTATTGCTGCCAACCCCACCGTGTCAAAAATCAGAAGACAACCTCTTAAAAATCAAGAGATTTGGAGTGTAAATCATGAGATGCTATTTTTGAAGTGTGTGTATGGGGGGAGCGGGTTATTTGTGAAGGCGTGGGGGGCTGTGGGTGTGTACGTGGCATTGGCAATGTATAGCGGATGTATGCAGGTGCACGTGCACCCGCTGAGATTGGCCGTGCACCCCCTGGAAGCGCCAGCCATGAAACTGGAAACTGGAAGGGGCACCCACCACACAACACAGTGCATCTGGAGTTTCCTGTACATAATCAACTCATGCATTCCCAGACCAGAGGACTTGAAGGAATGCAACGTACCCCTGGTGGAAGTCTTACTGCCATGAAGGGTCTTCCCCGAGCCTGCCATCACCTCTCACGTCTCTTTTCTTTCTTCCCCCTAGGAAGAGGAAGATCCTCCTGTATAAAAAAGCTGCAGAAGGCGCGCTGTCAGCAGAAACAGAAGTCAAGCACGTCTTCATGCCTGTGGGGGAACAAAGCAACTTGAACTCTTTAACCCAGGATTTGCTTCCGAAAGAGCAGAAGGCCGGAGACGTGCTGGTACAGTGGAGGGACGGGACTGTCACAGCTCTGTACGCAGACAGGTTTGAGGATGCGTGAGAGCGGGCGCAGTCAACGCAGAAACAGCTCAACCCATTTCAGAAGTATCGTGCATCTCAGTTGACCTTGAAAGCCAGCACAGTGCATCGAACAGAACAAAACGGAGAGCAGAGGAGGTTCCTCAGCACAGCAGCTCTAGGCTCAGATACAGGCTGACCCACACCTTCCCCCCCCGGTTTCGATTGCCCTACAGCCCGATCTTTACTCTCTGTTGTCAGCCGGCTCCAGGGATACTTCAGCATGCCCGTTTTGCCCACCCTCTCTCAGATGTCGCCTGCCTCCATTGCATGAAGCCAAGCCAGACCGGGGAGGTGGGAGGCTTTTACTGTAGTCAGCCGAGGAATGTGGCTTTCACAACAACTCTGGGAAGAATCCTCGAGAAAACGGTGCAGCTAAGCAGAGGAGCTCAAACTATTCAAGTCGCCTTTATCAGCATATTGGGCAAAGGGGTTCACATTGTATAATTGGATATATGTGACTCTACTCTGCAGACGAGTGCAATTCCAGACAGCAGCAGAGCAGTTACTGTCCCGAACTGTATATAAAATACCCCCAGAAGTCAATAAAACACGCTATCTTTCCAAAGGAAACTGGCCTGTTCACTGTACACGCTGTCCTTCATCAGGATTTATTCACTGTTCTGCACAGATAGTAGGGAAACACCATCCAAAAACTTAAGACACATGGTAAATACATTAATCCTATGACCAAAAGCATGAAGTGTCCCACTCAAGGAGTCTTTTTGTTTTCAAAGTCTTTGCAAAAGAACATTGCATTGTAAAAAAAAAGCCACCCTTACAAAATACGTATTTTTGGTACACTTTATTTCAAGGTATAGACAACATTTTTATATTATCCGAAGCTTTCTGCTTTCTATACAATCCAAATCATTTATTCTGCATTGAGATTTTTTTTTTTTAAAAACCCTCTTTTGATTTATTGCTTAAGCAGTGAAATGCTGAGGCTGTTCGTATACATGCCACCTTCCTTGTTCGCATCTTGAGTAGGCCGTAAGCATTGATACACTTCACCGTCTCTAAAGTTTCTGGATTTTAAATTTGAGAAGAAAATGGGGGTTTTTTGGTAATAACTTTGACTGGAAGTTTGGCAGAGATGCTAGACAAGCTTTCAGGCCCAAAGTCATCTGAAGACAGTCCAATAAAAGATATCACCAACAATTCCCGGCTTCTCGTATTGCCTGGACCATCACAACAATGACTCTCCAACACTTTGGTTTAGCTGACAGTCGTGCTTTCCCGGGAAACACAGATCAGCCGCCCCAGGCCCCGTTTCCACTAGAGGGCCCTGTGGTCATGACATGAAATTTCTCTTCCCGGGGACACTTGGTATCAGCACTTTGCTGGTGTTCGCGGCATGTACTGCAATCAGTACTTTCATCTGCACAAGCGCTGCAGCATACTGCCCAATATGGGATTTGGGACTGTCTGAACCAGCGGTATTTTTAGCATTTTTGTTGCCCTGGGCACAAGAGCAGGGAGTGCCAAGCAGCACAGACTCCCTGGCTGCTGCTGCTGCGACGGCTCTTCTCAATCAGTGCCTGGGGCCAGCGCCTCCCTTCCCCGGCTCTCGTTATGCTACTCTCTGCCCCTGCTCGCACAGACATTGGGAATTTTTCAGTTGATTTCAGTGGAAGTCAAACTGGACTGACATCTGAATTTCCATATAAATCCATCCACTTAAAAGGGAATCAAAGCTGTAAATTGATATGTTAGTAACTTTAGGGGGGAGACCTGCAAAGAATATTGCCATTCATGGAAAAGCTGAAAAATTCTCCGTTACAAAAAAGCTTCCAAATCTCCTTCAAAAATCACCCTAATATTGGAAAAGACAGAAATGCAGCGCTCACGTACCCGGAGCAAGCTTAACTCCGACTTCCGTCTGCTCGGCCTCCCCCAGATTCCTGCCTGCGCACGGCAGGACTTCAACACTGCCAGCACGAACCAAATGCCACCCTGAATTGCCATGCCACTCATTTCATCAGCATTAGCACAGACCTTACTCTGGGCTCAGCTATTACATATGTTGCCCATTTTAGCTAATCCTCTAGTGTGCATTACCGAGGGCTGATTTTTTCAAGACACAGTGCTAATTTGCTCAAGAAGCACAGGATGTGGCTTTGAAGGAGCAAAAAGCAAAATGTATTTAACTCACGGCCAAGGCAAGCATAGTCCACTTCTCATCCTGTAGACAGCACATATAACATAGGCTTCCAAAATATATATATATGTCTATGTACACATACAAAATACAGACGTCTTGCTTCTGCTATAACCAACAGTGACACTAACACCCAGTGCAAATGATAGGGGCAGTGTGCAAATGCCACGTCCGTAGTAAGCTGCAGGGAACGAACAAACAGGCAGTCATTCAGAGAGAAAGGACCAAGTTGCAGGGTCTTCTGCACTCCGTCCTGGGCCTCAATCGTTGCATCCTAACAAAGTGCTTTGTGTACAGCTAAGTCCATGTGTATTGTGGTCAGCCACTAATGCCAGGCAGCCAGCCACTGTTGCCCCAGAACAGCACCTTGACGCCACAGCTGTACTTGGAGAACAGTTCTCCAGGTCCCCCAAACCCCCGTGGCTGCTGCTTTCCCTCAAGCACTGAAGCAGTCAGGGCCAGTAGGGTCAAGCCTTAAAAGATTTTAAAGCCTTTCAATAAAGTCAATGTGGGAGCTTTCCTCTTGCTCTGGGCCCGGGAAGATTTCACTGTGACCAGCTTGGCTTGTGCAACAGAGGGAATCTCTTTGTAGTTGACTGTGGAGAGCGTGTTGAACGTGCAGCTGGCCAGGCCGTGTCTGGAGGCCACGGGCGTTGGTGTCACCACGTGCAGGCATGGCCTCTCCTCGGTGATGAACAGGGGTCGGACTGGCAGGCTCTTCTCCATCTCCCGCCTCATCTCCCGCACGGCTTCGTGGAACACGTGCTGCACAGATTCGAAATCCAGGCAGGCGGAAACTTCATAAAGCAAGCACCCGTACTTGGCAGCGAGAGCCTGCCCGTCGGATTTGGTGACCTGTCTGATGAAGAAGAGGACAGGAGGTGAGCAGAGTGTGGGGCGAGCCGTGACCACTGGGATGCACGGGGAATGTTTCCTCTAGCGGACACTACAGCCCTTGAAACCACAACGGCCGGCAAAGTTGGGACTAGGGTTGCCGACTCTGTTCTGGGAGGTTTCATCACGTGCCGTAACGACATTAATTACGGTGCGCAGACTTTACGGCAGGAAGGCACATGCACATTACTATTACGTTTTAAAACCCCACTGGACTACTGTATAAATCAGATGCGATATATTTTATTTATTTTAATGCATGCCCTATCATTTATCTCCTGGGTGACTCTCAGCAGCCTCCTGGGGATTTATGTCTAATTCCTGGAGACTCCAAGGCAATCCTAGAGGCCTGGCAACCCTATTAGCTCAGAAACAGAGGCCTTAGGACCCATACCAAAGCCCACTTATCTCAGCGGAAAGACTTCTGTCGACTTGGCTGCACTTTGGATCAGGCCTTAGCTGCTCTATGCCTTGGGTTTCTGTCCCCACGTGACATGAGGTCCAGCCACAGTGTGTTGTGCTGGCACTGCTAAGGGAGGGCTCAGACCCCAATGCAGGAATGGGCTTTAGAAGCTGCTCGACTCCAGAGTTGGTCCAAAAGTCTTCAAAGTTCATGGCATAGCTCCTGCTGACTGCAAGGATGCAGGGTCAAGCCCTGTATACCTTACAGACCAAACTCCTGTATTACAGGTGGATGAGAAATTGCCTATTCAAATATGTCTAGTGGCATATGCAGAAAACTCAGGCACCTGGTATCACATCGTACAGTAAAGCCATACTGTGAATGAGGCAAAATCTCTCTCCCTTCTCACATGCAGCCTTCATGAAATAAAGGCCTGGCTCATGGCTGGCTACTTCACCCCATACTGCTACCCCATGGGATAGCCATCCGTCCACACAGTCACGTGGCTCATGGACAGAGCATCACACGGCCGGCAGTCAATCCGAAGGCACAGGGTGCTGGATGCTCCAGAGCAAGCGGAGCCGGCTGAGGTGAGGATGATGCCACTGTCCTCTGTCCCAGCAACAAAAGGAGACAGGGTGAGCACCATTTGTGCTCTCCTGTTAGGAAGACCCCACTCGCCGGCACAGCTGCAGCATACCAGCACTGCGTTCCCCATTACAGGACTGTTCATGAGCACTGAATGGGGGAGGCAAACTGGTGACAGAGGATGCAGAAAAGGCTGTAGTGCTCAATGCTTTTTTTGCCCCAGTCTTCACAGGCAAAGTCAGCCTCAAACTACTGCACCGAGCAGCACAGTTTGGCGAGAAGGTGAGCAGTCCTCAGTGGTGAAAGAACAGGTTAGGGACTACTTAGAAAAAGACGTGTACAAGTCCATGGGGCCAGATGGGATGCACCTGAGGGTGCTGAGGGAGTTGGCTGATGTGGTTGCAGAGCTGCTGGCCATCATCTTTGAAAACTCTTGGTGATCAAGGGAGGTCCCGGATGACTGGAAAAGGGCAAACATAGTGCTCATGTTTAAGAAAGGGAAAAAGGAGGATCCAGGGAACTACAGACCAGTCAGCCTCATCTCGGTCCCTGGAAAAGTCATGGAGCAGATCATTTAGGAATCCATTTCTGAGCACTTGGAGGAGAAGAAGGTGATTAGGAGCAGTCGGCAGGGATTCACCAAGGGCAAGTCATGCCCGACCAACCTGACTGCCTTCTGTGAGGAGGTGACTGGCTCTGTGGATGCGGGAAGACCAGTGGATGTGGGGTACCTGGATTTTAGCAAGGTTTTGGATACAGTGTCTCACACCATTCTCACAGGCAAGCTAAGGAAGTACAGGCTGGATGAATGGACTGTAAAGTGAGTAGAAAACTGGCTGGAGCATCAGGCTCAGAGAGTAGTCATCAATGGCTTGATGTCTAGTTGGAAGCCGGTATCAAGTGGAGTGCCCCCAGGGTCAGGTTTCATAGTTTCATAGTTGGTGGGGTCGGAAGGGACCTGAGTAGATCATCAAGTCTGACCCCCTGCCATGGCAGGAAAGAGTACTGGGGTCAAACGACCCCCGCAAGGTGTTCATCTAACCTCCTCTTGAAGACCCCCAGGGTGGGAGCCTGCACCACTTCTCTTGGAAGTTGGTTCCAGACCCTAGCCGCCCTGACCATGAAGTCGCGCCTCCTGATGTCTAGCCTAA